TGGTCAGACCAGGTATGCTCATCTGACGGAACAGCGGCCGTCGTTTAGGGACAGAGAACAGAAAGCAGATTTGTCTCCTAAACATTCAGTCCATGAAACATTGATCGCCACAAACATTGCTTTCGCTAAAACATCTTCGCATTAATATAAAACGGTCATTCATAAACACACATGAGGACACTGTGTTAGTGTAAAACCAAGATAAAGCAGACAAGTAGCAGTTCGTGGAAGTCTGTTACCCTGATTAAACGTTTGGAGCAGGAGGCAAAGAAGCTCTTCCAAATATAGAGGCGTTGCAGAGCGGTGTGTGTGGGGGGGATAATTAGCAGGGAAGAAAATAGAAAACTGCAAGCAATGGATGAACGAGGGCTTTTCAATCTCAACGGTTGACCTCCAAAATGGCTTCCATCTGACATAACAGTGTCATCTATAACAGTAGATCTACAGTAGCCATCTATAGAAGGAAGCCGTGCATTGAGGGAAGCTAACCGCAGGGTTTCCTGTTTGGTTTCCAGTGCCGTGGCCACAGCCGCCAACGTTGATCTGATCATCTCTGTACTCGTGGAACGCTTCGGCATAGGTCGACATTTTGTGTGTTCTTCACGTTTTAAACAGGAAGGCATGTGGCGCTCCCACCTGAACCCCGACAAACGGACCAGTTTAACAGACAGTGCTGCCAACTCCTCAGCAAGAAAAGTCATAAAGTCGCTTCATGACGTCATCATCTAATATGCATCATCATGCCATCCAGCAGCAGGAGATTCAGAACCCAGAATTGTGTTTTTTGTCTGTCTGTCAAAGCAGCAGAGAGATGGGGATTTGAAGACTTTTATAGAGATTTTACCAAACTTCATAGCAGTTCATAAATGCACCCTTAGTTGTTTGTCATCTAGCGGAAAAAAAAACACTAAGAAGAAATTAGCATCAGTGCAAAAACAGAGAGTGAAGGAGCTAATGGGGAGAGAATGAGGCTGTAGATTGACAATTCTGTTATTTTATGTGAAATAAAGGTTAAAAATTGTTTTCATTATTCAATTTTACAATCTAGGGAAAGATTTGAAGCAGATTTGCACCTTTCATTTGCAATATGGATTCAAATTGGAATGATTTAGTCTCTGCTGCAGAGCAGGCAGCAGCTCTGCATGATGATAGACAGTGAGAGAGGGAGGAAGTCCGCTCATATTTAGAATTCTAACCTTTGAAAGTACTTTAAATATGAAATTAAAAGTAATTTTCATGTAAATGTTCTTTACTGGAGGCATCCATGTTTGTCAAAGAACACTACTGCCACCTACTGGTTTGTGACGTCACGGTGCGGTATCGGCTGTTGATCAAGTCCCAGTGCTGTATCTGGTGTTTGTCACAACGCGCTATTATCCAAGTCATCTTGAAAACATTCTTCTTCCAAATGTTTGGCTACATATTACGGGTTTTTTCTCTGGCCAGAAGTTCGATGGCAAATCCTCCCTCTTCAAGTTGGCGATCCAACGACCAATCCGTCCGTGGAGGATCAGGAATCAGAAAGGGGAAATAACTCTTTTTTTTCCCCACTTTGACCCGAGGTATTCCAGCATCCAGCTGCCATGCACGTGGGCATTGTCAGTAGATTTTGCTTGTAAAGCGGGGAGAATGGCGCTCAGCTTACCGCACCGTGACGTCACTGCCGGAAGATGTCAGGAGGGAGGCGTTACTATATTTGGGCATAAATGGCCGCTCCCAGACTCTGTGATCACAAAGAAAATCATTACTCATATTTTTTTACTGATTAAGGCTTAATTCATTAAATCACGGCGAACGTATTAGTTTTAGGTATAGATAACTCAGGAGGACAGAGTTTGGTGCTTTTACGTCCCCAAAGTTTAAATGAACATGTTTTTTTTTAATAAAGGCGCTAGGTGGGTCTGAAAAAGCTTTAAATTAAGCGACAGAATTGCAGAATTGGCAGCACTGTTAACAGAGCCTCCTTACGGCACAGACTGAGGATCCTCGTCAGACAGCTGCAGCTCAGAAACTGAAAACTAAGGATTTCACCGTAAATGCTCAATTCTCTTCAAGTGAAGAGGCATGTAGAAGGAAAGTGTTTATATGGCCCCCTTTATAACCAAGAACTACCAACGAAGGGATGGTTTTAGTTTGCATAACACAGGAGCGTTTGGCCCTTCTGCTTCACAAACAAGCAGCTCCAATGTTCTAAGGACCGCTCTTCTCAAAGCAACTGGTGCATTTGACTAAACGGTCTACCTGAAGTCCACCTCACACCTGGACTGTACTCACCATCACTTCTGTAAGGAATGAAACAACCGTCCAGTACATCATCCATCAAAGAGGAAAACCTAAGGCGTTGTGCCTCAGTGGTAAACGCTGAGACGCCTACAGGGCGGGGGGTGGGGGGGAGCGGGGGGGTCTTTCCCCTTACATGTGATTCAAGCAAAATCAGAGTCAGGAGTTTGTCCAAGCCCTCCCAAACCAAAGCTCCGCTGCTGCTGTCCGTGGCTTATACATCTGGAGCACGGGCGACTCTTCACTGGTCGGCGCACGAGATGAGAAGCGGAGTTTGTGCAAGTTCCTTCTTCTGGCTCTGAGCCAAGCTCCTCTGGCCTCTGAAACAGGGACATCAGAACAAACTGTCAGAAAAGCTCCACTTAGGGACGCACAACGTTTCAGGACGGCAGGCGCTCCTACTTGTGAACATTTTCCATGGCTGCTACCTCGGCCAGGGCAGCCAAGCTGAAGAGAGCAGGTAGCTCTTGTGGTAAGGTGCTCCTCCTCACCTCGTCCGCCTGTGGAGCGCTGTAGCACCTGTTTTCATTGCATAAATTCTGTTGGTTCGATGGCTTTTTATCCTCTTCCTGGTTTAGATCCCTGGCTTTGTTTTCTGTTGAAGGAAAACAACAAATATTCACAAATGAACCAAACATTTTATTGTTTTATGATCCTGTCTAATATATTAATTGCAGCAGAATTTTTATGCTGCGTTCACACCGAACCCTCCGGTTTACAAGACCACTGGGGACTGCATTGTGGGGTCCAGTGTCGCATTCAGAGCTTTCAACACTGGAGTTCAGTAAACTGAACTTTTACCATTGGATGTGGAGCATCAACCAATCAGAAGAGTTGATCCAGGAGTTTTTTGGGGAGACAAACACTACCTGCAAGCTGTCACTGGTTCTGTAGACATTTCTTTCTTAAATTAGATGGCTTCCTTCTTGCCCCTCTCAAACCACCTCTTTTCTAGACAAAGAAAATATGTTAATCTATGTTAAGAAAGAAAAACCAACCTTAAACAGAGGGGGTGGACTCAGATTTCAGCTTTCAAAAACCTACAATGCAGCGATAGAGTTGATCCTTTCCCACGATCATCGCAACCCCAACCTCTTTACAGGGGAACAGAATACCTCGCCTATTCATCCAGGCCAACAATTCCCTTTAACAACCCCCCTTTCAGAGACATAGACAGGTATGGGGCATTGCAGGCTAACAAAAGAAGCCAAACGACCCCCATTCCAAAGAGGTGGACCCGTTCATCTGTTTCTATATGCATGTTTTCTAAACTAAAACCAGGCTTTGTTGGGCTGCTGGATAAAACCTGGAACTCAACGCCATTTCTGACATTTTGAATTGAAAAAGCTTTCTGGATGGGAAGAGAAACGTCTGCAAACTTGAAAACTCACTTAAAACATGTCAGAACAATTTTTCCAATTCATAAATTAAATAAAGTCAAGCTGCTCTCCAGCTTGAAGCTACAGAACAGAGCGGATAAACAACCAGAGCCTGGAGCAACCAGAGCAACTCGACCACAGTCTGATTCAGCATCCAGATTTCTGCATTTGCGCGTATTTGACGCCCATAACAGCCTCGGTGTGAGCGCAGCATAAATGACATAACTATGGAAGATTTTTCCTGCCAAAAACCAAGAGCAAACATTTTTAATATCAGTGCAAGCCCGTCGGCTTTTTCAGACGGGAGTCGGATCATCGCCTAGAATCCTTTCCTGCCAAAAGAATGACTGCCTCTACCGAGTTTGCAGTTACTGCTCTTGGTTTTTGGCAGGAAAACTCTCCCATGCGTAACGGCCAAAGTGTTGGTTTGTTGACTGTAAATGCTCAAATTTTTACTGAGTTGAAATCCCAGCTTCATTCATCCATCAGGTGGCTGCGGACTCACTCTCAGCAGGAGAAACACTGCCATCAGCCGTGCGCACCAAGTGCGTGATCTTGGTCTTCCTAGCCTTCCTCTTCTGGCTGCCGACCAGCATCTCCATGCTGCTGGTGGCGCTGTAGACATCTGGAAACATGGTGTTGATGAGAGTAGAGGATTTGGCTTCAGAAACGGAATCCAGAGGGAAGGAATCACTCTGATCTACTGCGAGATTAAACACAGAAGAAAACAAGCAAAAAAGAAAAGATTCAAACAGGGAATACATAAGATTTCTTTTTAATGAAAACATATGAAATATCCATCCATCCATTTTCAGTCACGCTTATCCCTGCTGGGGTTTGCGAGGGGTGCTGGTTCCTATCTCCAGCTGTCTACTGGTGAGGGGCGGGGTCCACCCTGGACAGGTCACCAGCCCATCGCAGAGCAACACAGAGACAAACAGGACAAACAACCATTCACGCACAAACTCACACCTAAGGAGAATTTAGAGAAACCAATTAACTTAACAGTCATGTTTTTGGACTTAGTGAGGAAGTTGGAGTACCCGGAGAGAACTCACTCACGCACAGGGAGACTATTAGACTGGTAAGTTACCACTTAGCTCCTAGTATCCAGTCATATACATACTGTAATGGTCCCTGGAGATGTGGGTATACTCGCACTCCTTTATATGTAGCCCAGAAACAATGACATGGAAGACTACTGCATCCATGGAAGTATGTAGTTTACCCAAAAATTTCTAGTATTTAGTTAATGTCTTCTAATTTTAGTTTTTGATCATGGGGAGGAAGGATTAGTAAATAACTAAATGCTGACCCACAGACTAGTGAGAGAATATAATTAAAAATGGTCAAATATGTGCAGAAAATTGCATTTTCTTAAATTGTGATTATGCTGCAAATGCAATTAATTGCCCAGTCCTTCCTGACATCATTTCATATAACTGAAAATAATGCTTGGATCAAATACCCCATTTACACTACCCTTGAAAAACCGTGCCGAGACCGGTCCGAGCTCAGTAACTCAGATAACTTATCGTGTGTAAATGGAAAGATAACTGAACCGAGCTAACGAGCCAGTTCCAGATGTGGGCTCGGCTTGGTTTTTCCCTGGCTCGGTTCTCTGATAACAAGAGCGCATGAGCAGAACGCATCATCTCTGTCTGGCTGCACATTGCGATTCACACTCCATTCCAGTAGTTGGCGGTAATGCCCCTCCGGAAACAGAAGAAGAAGAACAACTGCTTCTTCAACTACAAACAACAATCGAAATCTTCTCCACGCAGCATTTTAAATAATAACACCGAAGTACAGCAATAATAATCAAGCATAACTTTCTGAATGTGACGGGCGACGCCATTTTGATTTGCTTGATTCCCTCCTTCTTCATCTTCTTCTTCTTGTGTTTTATAGCAGTTGGCAAACAACTTTTGATGCATTACCGCCACCAACTGCTTGATTTCTTCCTTCAATACTGGCAGTAATACTGCAGATCGTCACTAGGAGGCGAGGAACCGAGATAGCGTGATGTGTAAACGGTCGTTAGAACCGAGCTGGGCCTGGTTAAGTGATCCGAGCTCGGACCGGTCTCGGCATGGATCGTTTTTTCAAGGGTAGTGTAAATGGGGCTATAGGTTATGAAGTGCATCTTTAAGGCTACACCACAGCATTTTATTGGTCTTGACCTCGTGTGAAATAAATGGTACTGTAAAATGAAAGCAATGAAAGTCATGTTTGGTTGGCAGAAAATTATACATCTGACACAGCTGAGTGAATTTGATCTAACCATGAATGAACTTTTTTTTTTTTTTTTGCTAACTGCAGTGAACTTTAGTGCAGACCGTATGCTGACCTTTTGGGCCTTTAGAGGAGTCCTCCAGGTTAGAGGAGCAGTCAGTCTTCTTTTTCTTGGCCACAGCCGTCCCTTTCTTATCAAAGGTCAGGGGGCTGAACTGCGGCAGGCTGTTAAACTTCTTTTCAAACTCCTCCTCCAGTTTCCCGAGGCTGAAAAACCAAGTCCAAGGTTAGATCATATGATGGTGCAGGAAATAAAGATTTGATTTAAGTCTCAAACAGACACAGTAATCTCTCGATCATATTGTTTCTATTTTGTATCCTGGCAAATGACCCTAAAGGCTGCTAAATAAACTACAAGAACCGGGAAACCTGCGAGAACCAAATGACATTTCTTCATTGTTCTTGCTGCTTGTTTTGACACAATGTTTTTCTTACATCATGTCTAAAAAAGGGATTTGTTAAGTAGGAATAATGGAGGTGATTCTTCCCTTTTGTTTTCGGCTCCTAAATCTGTTCACTGAAAAATAGTTTGGAGTTTAAGCTGAGCAAAGCGGTAAGAACATATGAACGTTTGTATGATGCGTCTTCAGAGTAATATAAAGCACCTTACTCTCCTCATATCTCAGTCATCCAGGTCATGGTAGAGCTTGAAAAGCTCAGTGTAGGCAACTGGACATAAAATCTTCTAGAAGATGTTTTTGTTTCTGTAAGTAGGTGACAGGTTATGTCTAAGACCACTTCCTCTGCTTTTTCCAGGTTAACAATGATGGCTTCCTAACCCCTCTATTAGGATTTTTCTTACTGATGATGTGTGAGTTTCTGGAGGACATAGGGACCCCCGTTTCATCATATCTCTATTCTCCCACTCTGCAGAATCTGTTAGTTCAATCTCTAACGTTCTTTTTCTCATAGTAGCTTCATCTGGTCTGTTTCTGTTTGGCTGTGACTCCATCCTGGAGAGAAATATCATCAACACCTTTGTTTCTAGATGTTGGAGATCAGCTTGTTTTTCAGTGTAGTCCTGTTTCTCTGACTGTGACTAACTGTTTGTGCTCTCTTCATCCTCTGACATGGGAGCTGGCTCGGAGCTCGTCTGCTCATCTGTAAAGTGCCTTGAGATGACATGAGTTGTAAAGTGGCGCTATAGAAATAAACTGAATTGAACTGAACAGAGTCTGTTAAACCCTAATATTACCTGCCTGTTGTGTCAGAACTAATGTTTTCCCCAGTAGTTTATCTAAATAGGACAGTTCCTCTATCAGGATAGAAAGTCATCTTCATTATGAACATGGCAAAGATGTGGGAATGGAATGAGAGCAGTGTCCTTGATGTAAGAACAAAGTGTAATATTTTGATAAGGCTGGAGCCATTGATGTCTCCTCATCTGAAAACGTGTACGGTGTAATGATGTGATGGTGTGGCAGACTGGAGTTGTATAAAATGCTTCTTTAACGGTGATTCGGAGTCACCTCTATGGTCTAAGTAAGATTACAATTCCTGACCAAATCTGTTACCATGTCTCCTGGCTATTTAATACATATAGGCCTACATTATGAAGTCTTATTTAAATAGTTTGTCCTGAGTGATCCCTACTGAAGAAAGTTTTAAGGTGTAAACACAGAGCTTTCCTAAACCCCTCTCTCAAACCATCCATCTTCCTTGGCCAGGATGCGGATGTTTGGTTTAGCCTTCAGGTGCAGGTGAACAGCTGATACCCCGAAGATTCACCTCTCACCTCCCCTCACCTGACTCAACCTTCAATGAGGCTTGTGGCCGAAACCACTCTGACGAGGGAGATAACGACCCATCAGAGACCCCTAACGAGCATTAACCCCCCAGGTGACCTCCACTGCTAATCTCACCTCACGTCCAGTTTTCTAAACTGAACTTTTCAAGCTTTTACTCCCCTCATCATTTGTCTGAAAAACGCCTCCCTGCCATCATGGCGTGTTTTCTCTAGTAGAGCTACAGTAGCAGCCATTCAAAATGGCCTTTCCCAGTCAAATTTCAGCTGAATGGGAGTCCACTTCCCTGCAACTCCCAGCAGACTCCCCTCCAACTTCCAGCCACTGGAGTTAATCCCTCCTTCAACTGGGAGAGAATATTTTTTTAATCTCTCCACCCTTTCACTGAATTACAGCGTCTTACCAGGAGATGGCGCTTCTGTTTAGATATTAATGTCCACAAATTATGACAGAAAGAATATTCTAGTTCTACAAAGATTGATGTTTAAAAAGGAATAGTAGGGGACCAGCCAAGGGCCCATCAAGGAAAGTGGGGAAATTTTGAATGGCTACTACTGTACAGCCAAAGGGACTTTCTATCGGTTTGGCAGCTGAGCTGCTCAGGAAAAGTGAGGAAAAGAAAATAATTCTTGTTTCCTGTGGAGAATGCAACCAGCTTATCTCATGTTTCATTTAGAATGGGACATGACGAACCTCTGTGAAGACTCGTCTTTGGATTTGGATTTCTTTAGCTTCTTGGTATTACTTGGTCCTGTGTGTGAAACTGTCCAGCTTTCTTGAGTCCAGTTAGTATCGTGATCAAAAGCGCGGAAAGCTCCTCTTTTACCTGCGGACATGTGGCAACCAAGTTAGTTCATTACATTAAGTGCCAAGATAAGCCTGGAGTGTTTCATGTGTTCGTTGCAGGATACCTCTGTCTATGTTGGCTCTCAGTGACGTCAGCATTCCCTCAGACACAAGCGTTTTATACAAGGCACCCTTGCAGCTGCGCTCTGATTTCCTGGAGCCGTGGCTGTGTTTGTTTAGCTCCCAGGTCATGTCACCTGCCTTCTCCTTGTGCTTCTCCTGGTCCTCTTCTTTGGGCTTAGTGGGTGATTGGCCAGAAGGAGACTGGGGGAAGTCTTGCATGCAGATCTGGGGGCCTGTGATGTCAGTATCAACACCTTCTGCTTCAGTCGGGGGTACTATGCATGGCGCCGCTGTGTTTGTCTCCATATCAGAGGACTCATGCTGCTCACTGCCATTTTCCAACTCCTCTTCTTTTGCTTTGACTGGTGTCTTCACTTTGGTCTTTGTTTTCTTCTGAGGCAGACCAGGGTTTCTAACTGACAGACTGGGACAGGTCTTCCTCTTGGTTTTGTCCTCTTTGTCGATCCAGACTCCTCTGGCCACAGCTTCAATCGTGCGATCCACATTTGATTCAGCCTGCTGACAGTTCTTGGCGACTGTGTTCTCTGGACACTTGATGTCGTTCAACTTGACCCCATCAATCTTCTTGTTTTTCTTCTTAACACATCCGCTTTGGCTTTCATGCTGAGGAGGGGGTGTGGCATCGGTGGAGGTAGATGTAACAGAGGGAGGAGCTGATGTGTGAGTGGGCGTACAGGGGTCAGGTTCTCCGCCTTCCTCTTTAACTTCTGACTTCAGAAAGGTTTGTTTGAGAGTTGCTGTGGAGCAGTTGTCGTCTGGCTGGGATACTATGGCGTCTATGTTTCCTGCTTCTGATGCTAAACACATCTGATGAAAAACAAACAAAAAGAAGCTTATAGGAATCTTCAGTTGTAAAATAATTCTCTACCCTTCGATATCCTATATAATTGTAATGCTTCTCTTCATAATACAGACCAAAGAAGTTCACACAGTTTTGTTCATTAGCTTAAATGTGAGGCATTGGCCATTTCTCAACATGTGTACTTGTGCATTCTTATGTGCTTTTGAAACGTCAACAGCCTCAGCCCTAGTACCGTTCCAATTCACTAGAACAAGAAGACCGAGAACGGACAAAGTCCCGGATGTTGTTCCCTCCCCTCCATACCCAGCATGCATCAGAGCAGACTTGTCCGTTATTGAGATTGAGAGCTGTCCCAGCATGCAGTGCGGCAGCAGCAGCTTCCAGGTTAGCGCTCACAGTATTAAGTTAAAAGTTCTCTTTTCTGCTGTTCTGAAAAAGTACATTTTAAGATCATTTGAGGTGAGAACATTATACTTTTAAGCGTCACTATATGGTCGATTTATTGATGTAGTGCGTCATTAAATAAAATAAATTCCGAACTTGAAAGTACCGCAGCAACCAGCAGAGCTCTGAGGCTAACCGCAGCCAGGGCTAACGTTAGCTTGTTTGCAGCAGCCAGGGCTGATGTTAGCTCGTTTGCAGCAGCCACAGCTAACTTAAGCCCATCTGCAGCAGCCAGGGCTAACGTTAGCCCATCTGCAGCAGCCACGGCTAACGGTAGCCCGTCTGCAGCAGCCACGGCTAACGTTAACCGTTCTTAGCAGCCACGGCTAACGTTAGCCCGTCTGCAGCAGCCAGGGCTAACATTAGCCCGTCTGCAGCAGCCAGGGCTAACATTAGCCCGTCTGCAGCAGCCACGGCTAACGTTAGCCCGTCTGCAGCAGCCACGGCTAACGTTAGCCCGTCTGCAGCAGCCACGGCTAACGGTAGCCCGTATGCAGCAGCCAGGGCTAACGGTAGCCCGTATGCAGCAGCCAGGGCTAACGGTAGCCCGTATGCAGCAGCCAGGGCTAACGTTAGCCCGTCTGCAGCAGCCAGGGTTAACTTTAGCCAGTCTGCAGCAGCAATTTTTAAGGATGCATCGTTCTATACACTGCAGCTCTACAATTCTACGTGACATTTTTATTCGCGGATGAAAGACCTGTGTCACTACACTTGCGGCTGCCATGTTGGGATCCAGGGGACTCTGGTTTCATTGGTTGTCATTTCATCAATAGAAATAAGAGTCAGTGACCCCATGTCAGATCAAGCTACTATTGAAATAAAATCTGGAACATAAAATGGATTGTTGTTCATCAAAGCTCCTCTAAAATTCAGACTTTCATTCATTGCCCCCATGGCAGCTCCTTGGCTTTGTTCTCACACTAAATGGGTCTGAATTAATCAGTTCAGAGGTTAACTGTTAACATTTTTAATGGGTCAAATGAGAGAGATGGAGAGTCGATAAAGGGATGACAGATGTGGTCTGTAAATGTACGGTTCAGGTGTGTGTGTGAATTAAACGGAGATTTAGCAGAACGCTGTCATGTTGGTTGATGACAAACTTATATTAAAACTTTACATCAAATATTGCACCTCTTTCCCCCATCAGTAGTTTTTATTGAATGATATTGGATGAAATGATTTTTATTGTTATATAATTTTTTCACTTCAGTAACAGTTTATCCACATCATTTCCAGCTTTTCAAACTTATTTCCCACTGATTCGGTTTTACTGGTCCTGTAATTCTGCTGCTCAGTTCTCAGTCAGCAGAGCCCGAATCTGCAAACCGTTAAAGTTTTTCTTCTTTCTCCTTAAAGCCATTTCTGTGAATGAACAGAGGTGTGTGAATTCGTAGCCTTATATAGCATTATCAGGGCAGTAATTATGCTGATTTACATTTCTACATCGCGCGCTCACTTACATCCAGGTGGACTGCAACAGCTTTATGAGGTTAGGAACCTTTGTTGAATCTACATGTCCTAAAAGCCGACGGAGCTAAGAGAAATTTACACTAACAATCTGAAAATATTGTTGCATGAGGCCCAATATTTTGCACTGTTCACACCAGGAGAGGATGATTTATTCATTCCTCATTTTTTGACGAGCAGTGAATCAACTTCCTTTGTTTTCAAATTCTTCTTTTGCATTAAAAAACACCCCCGACTCCTTTGAAAAACAAATCTGTTATAAGCGAAAAATTTACTGGCAAGCCAATAGAGGGCGCTAAGGTGCCCCACCCACCCAATGACCCTGATTAAGATGTAAAAAAAAAGTTTTTTTTTTTCCTATTTATATCTTAAATTTAAATGAAATAAAAAAAATAGAAATATATTGATATATATTTTTTAGATGTGCAAGATAAATATTTAATCTTTAATTATTAGCAGGGCTGTCAGTTTTAAAGCGTTATTAACGCGTTAACTGCTTTAGACTATAACGCCGAAATTTTTTTTAACGCACGTTAATCGCGCATCAAAACAAACGCACCGTGCGCTTTTGTTCTTTATTTTTCCGCAGCGCTCGCTGTACTGTTTGTTTTACCCTCGGCGCTTTCCGTAGCTTCAGGAATGCTAAGTTTTGGGAGAGACCGCAGCATAACAGACCCGTGCTTTGAATGAGCAAACATGGCCAGCAGACAAGGTATCCTGAATCATAAGTTTCATTTTAAAGTTATCCCAGAAGGCTGTCTTGACAAAACCTAAGTCCTATGTCAATGTTGTCCAGAAGAAACGAGCGTCTCACTGGCTTAGTGCCAACAAGACAAAGAAATAAATTAAGTCATGTGGAAAGCACTGCTGCTGCAATTCCTGTTCAAACCAAAGGAATATTAAAGCATTTTAAAAATGTTTTACATGTAAAATGTTATGTTGTTGAGATGACTGCAAAGCCCAGTTATTGTAAATTCGTTTGATTTATTTATTATTTTGTGAGTAACTTCATTTTATTTGAATTAAGTCTGAATTTCATAACGGAATGTGCACTTTATTTTAACAGTACATCTTTATTTTTGTCCTATGTTTGTACTGTTTACTGTTCTGTAGTTTTGTAAATTTTTTTTACAATTTTTGAATAATTATTGGCCGGAATTTAAACCAGGATATTTTTATTCTAGTTTTTTAAAAGTGCTTTAAAAAAATTATTATTTAAACTTTTTTTTTTAGGCAGTTTTTTTTTACATTATTGCACATTTGCATTTTTTAAAATGCCCAAATAAAATAAATAAAATAAAAAGATAAAATATGCGATTAATTTGCGATTAATCTTGAGTTAACTGTTGATATTATGCGATTAATCGCGATTAAAATTTTTAATAGTTTGACAGCACTAATTATTAGTAAAGCGTCATTCCATTTTTCATTGGATTGGTGACGTATTTCCGCCCCAGGGCGCAAAAATCTTTGGCCATTGACTCTCGTTAAAAGTTGTAAATGCGCATTAGCTCCTCTGCAATACAGAAGTATAGGACAGCTTGTGGTGCAGGAGAGAGAGAGAAAGAGAAACGCAAGAATTGGGTTCCTGCAGCATACGGCAAGTTCAATTCAAGACTTTTTAATGCCACTTGAAATAAAAATTTAAGACCAAATTCACAAGAAACACAAGAAAAAAAAATGCTTGTGACAACTTAACCCAAAGGTTTATTATAACATAAACCACTGCACTAATGTTTCAAATTTTGAAAGAGCTTGCCATACACGAGGAAAGCTAAAAACACACAAATGACAGTATATTTTAACAATTATTTAACTGAATTCACAAACTTTGTTTTAGCAGGGAACAAAACAAATCAGTTTTAAAGCCCCAACATAACCAGTGTCATAAGTCTTTTTTGCAGCTATTTTTCTTTCTATCGTTTTCTTAGTATGTTTGACTTGGTGATAAGTGGAGGCGTTGCAGAGATAAGGGTGGAACAAAACCGAGAAATACCGGCTGTTTCTCGGTAACTCCATTTTGACGCTTTGTGTTTCGTGCTTCGTATGTGACTCCACTGCCTTAATTCCCATCGTTCTGAGCTTGAATGACTTCTTGCACAAAATCCACTGAGCCTCATGTATGTTCCCTGGTTTTAGCCATGAAGAAAACTATTGGCTGGAGACAATTTTCGTTAGATGTACATGTATAAAAATATTCCTATTTATGATGTTTTAAAAATTAAGACCTACGAAAGACTGATTTAAGACATTTTAATACTAATTAAGGCCTTAGTTTTATTTTGAAGAATTCAATGCCTTTTAAGATTTTTTAAGGACCCGTGGGAACCCTGAAGAAACATCCTTTTCCAGGAGCTGGTTTAGCTCCAAGGCTCGGCTAACTGCATGCAGCGAGGCTAAGGCTTTATCCTGCTTTTCTGCCTCCTTTTTCAAACGTCAGGATCTGAGCCAGCATGGATTGATTTAAAGTACTTTTTAGAAAAGGCAAAGTAGAATGAACAATCTGGGATTCTAATGGAAAATAATAGAATTTATTCTACTTTTTCTTGGTGTTTGTTCATTTGCATAGTTGCTCTTAAATAAACACATTCTCAAAAAATAAGCAGTTTTTATGTATTAAAAAATATAAAGCTGACTAATAGCTTATCTATTATTGAAGTGATACAATATATTTTTTTTAGGTTTGTGACACAATATTGGACCATGCGAAACACAGATTTACCCTCAAAGCCTCAGAAGGGCAAGATTTATGTGCAAAAAGTAAACCTGTCCAGGAAATTATGTTTTGTTTTTTATAAAGTGTTTTTATAATGTTTTTTGTTGCTGGCATTCATATAAATATACTGCAGTGATAACTTAGCCTATATTTGATTATTTTTTGATATACACCTATTTTGAATTTATTGCCCCCCCGGAGAAAACTCCGCCAGCCACCATTGTTCATAGGTGAACTAACTTTATAATTAACATTTTGAATAAAATGTTTCTATTTGTGCTATAAATATCTGAGGTTTGCCTGATCATTGTCATTGTAAGTGAATCTTGCAGTTCTTCAAAGTAATAAAAAATGAGAAAAAACCTACTTTTCTAGAATGATGACAAAGCTAACCATGTTAAAGCTGCCATCAGTTTTTCCTCCAAGCAGAAACTATTCACCTTTTGGCCACTGAGGCCCAGTTATGTTCCGTCCTTCATTAGATGAAGCACTTACCTCAGCGAGCTGGAAGAGCGCCGACTGTCTGCATGGTTTTCCTTCAACGGTGGCGGACAAGGAACGCTATGAACACACCAAGACATAACTGATGAACAATAGTCCTGCTTCCTGATGCTATAGAATAGTTTAGTCTGATCGCCATAGAATTCTGTAGAAATTACTTTCTAAAAGTCCAAATATTGAAATACTTTTCATTAAAATTTAAATCTTGCAGTAATTAGAAAATTCTTTGTCAGATTATTGAATTAATCAAAACTGGCTAAAATGTATTACAGTTAAACAAATGTAGCAAACAAAATGAAATTAATACCTAAAATGAAACACAAAAAACTTGAAAGAATTGAAGCCAAGATAGAAAGATTGTCGTATGCCATAGGTGGGCCATAAGTTACAGGTGAGTTATCTGACCGTTGACATACATTAAGTGTACGTTACTTATAAGTCGTGGCGTCTAGCTTGTCCTAAACCTATGAGTAACTTCTCCTCCAGACTTCATCCCCATCATAGGGTGAGCCAGAAGGTGAGTGTGATGGATCCTCCCTGCGTTCACGCCCACCACCAACAAACTTCCGAGCAGACATGACGCTCAATGTGCTGCCAACAAAAACCTTCTTTATTTTTATTTATTCTTTTTTTTTGGTGGGCGGTGACTTCTGGACTCGTTATGAATACGCTATATTAATATACGCCCCTAAATTGAAAAAAATATATATAGATAGTTCATTTTAGAAGATTCTGGGACGTCAGGCAGACGCTGGATAAATCTGCATGGTGTGACAAGGGCCTAAGCAATGGACTTTAGGAAAACACTAATTGGACCGGCCAGAAAAAAGCTGAAATTTTTTAAAGTTGTGTTTTCATCAACTCTGGCAGAAAACTAACACAGGATTCCACAAACATCAACGTATAATGGTGGTGCTACTGTGGTGTTCTGGGTAATAAAATGGTGCGTCAGGACCTGAACCATGAATTCTGCTTTCTACCGCAGCTTCATCTGTTCTAGACACTAAACACTAAAGAGCAACCAGGTTCTGCAGGGTGACAAGGATCCAAATCAAACTCTGCATGGTTGACAAAAACAGAAAGGAAACTGGCTTTTAGGTAAAATAACTGAAAACTAGTTCTACTGAAGCATTATTAAAACCCTAATTGAGCTTTTAGAATAAGCCTAGTGTTTTTAAAGAACCTTTTGTTCTTTGCCATCAAAAACACAATCTCGATACATTTCTTCAAGTCAACTCAACAAAAATGATTTTCTCATATTACAACCACAAGATGGCGACAGAGTGCTTCTGTCATCAATAAGTTAAAAGCATCTCCCATTGAGGAGTATTGATAACAGTGATGGGATGTAGGTTCTCCGTACCTCCTCCACCAATGAAAGGCCAGTCTTCATCCTGCCGTCATCTTCAGCCACGTCAGGCAGCCTGTTGGGAATCGTCTGGGCAAATGTCTAAACAAAAATCAGCCAGTTACAAACTTTGCTCCCAAATAATATGTTAGAGATTTATTTCTTAATTCCCTCCGAATGAAAACACAGATTAAACCTTCTATTAAATAAGTGGCAAAGAATTCCTGCATTTAATTAGCCTCAGCAACAAATCTTTCTACATCACCAAGACATAATAACTGCTAAATTAACTATAGTTTATATTTGAGTTTTTTTCCACACATTTATAGAAAGGACCAAATATAGCAAAGCTGCTCTCTGCCATTGAACTCAGGAGCATCAGACGCAGCTGGACACACTTTCCTGGACGTCTGACCTTAATGTGGACGAGCATCAGAGATGAAGCAGCAGAAGCTTTTCTTGCTGCTGAAACCTTTGCGGCGTGAATGTAGCATAATTCAATATGAAGTAAAGCTATTGGAACAAAAACAAACCTCATCAGTTTCCTCTGAAAGGGGCTTTCCTCTACTGGCTCTGTCAGGTAATGCAGCTTTAGTGCAGGGAGGGATCTAGAAAATATAACATCACTTGGGTTAAACAGGTAAAGGAAAAAAAATCAGAATAAAACAAAATGTAGGAAACCTGAAGACATGCATTTTAAAACAACCCCTCCCAGCAGCTGCTCTCTGGCAGACAGACCTACCTCCCTGTTGATGAGGGCGTGTTCTCCAGCTAACAGCAGCATGCTCAGGCCGCCCATCTTTGTTGGATCTTTTACAAAAAAATGGCAAAAGTTAGAAAAGTGAATTGAAATCTTTATCATCTTCCTTCTACTAGGCTAAAAAGCCCACCTGCCATAGCAAAGTTCAGCTGGTGCAAACTGTCGCTTTTGGGCTCTTTCTTAACTGTGGACTCCTTGGATGAGTTGCAAGAGAAAGACCAAACTTTTTTCCGAGGAAAGCCGAGCGGCTGACAAGAGGAGCTCTTGAGTGGTTTGCTGGTGGTGGGACACCACTTGTAGCCGGGGTTGGCCTTCATAAAGGCGTCCTTGTACTGGAAGAACAAGTGAGATTACATTAAAAAACTAAATTCCAAAAAAGTAAAAAAAAACAAATCCCCTGGACTCCGTTTCCAAGTTTGAAGAAGTTTCGCTTCCCATCCAGGAAGCTTTTTCAGTGTTATTGTTCTGGATTTTTTTGTTTTGTTCTCTCTCTTGGTTCTTGTTTCTATGTGTATATATGACCTTGTTGCTATATGTTTTAAAAAAAAAAAAAAAAAAAAGGGAAAAGGTAAACTGCATTTCTGTGACTGGAGTTGATGTATTGCATTTTAAAACAATAAAAAAGAAGAAACAGAAATGTCTTCATTTTGATATTTTGCAGCTTGCCTTCGGAAATAGACTTTTTCCACATATTTTACAGAAAGGTTTGTTTTCAGGCTGTTCTTCTCTACTTACTATTCAGCAAGATATAAAAGTTTTAATTTTAGCAGCATTAGGATTCCTCTTTCTGTTGAAAGAGGAATCCTAATGCTGCGTTCACATCTAATGTACTTTGAGCAGCAGAAGCAGACGGTTTACATGTAAAGTCAATGGTTGATGCACATCAAAGGCTACGTGCACGCTACAGGGCTTAATGCTTAATACCGATTTATTGAGAAATACGATTTTTTTTGCTTTGCAGTTGACATTGCAATATATATGTGACATGTATGTGATCTCTAGTAGATAGTAGAATAGTGACCTTTGTTTAATTTTAATGACGTTTAGGTCAGAAGAATGCGACCTGGCCGGACCAGACACGGGTCGCGTTTGAAAAGATCGGATTCGTATCGGATTCAGGACCACAGAGCCGAGTGGCCTGGGTCGCATTGGAAAAATTCAGATTTGTGTTGTTCAGACTATCAAGAAAAGATCGGATCCAGGTCGCACGTGGGTAAAACAAAATCGGATTAGGGTCACTTCAGGCTGCTGTGAATGTAGCCTAAACATCCTGCAGCGCGTCTAGAGCAGCAGCAGCAGCGGCGCCTCATGAGCTGCAAAAGCAGCAGCTGCTGGAGTTGGAAGAATTGAACTTTAGCTGCTGGACGCGCTGCATCAACCAATCAGAGAAGCTGATCTGGGAGCTGGCAGGGAGTCAGACACAGCACTGCTGAAGCAGAGCGCTATGATCACTCCTCTGAAACAGTTTATTAACGCCTAAATTAACTTCAAATCTCATAACCTGCTGGAAAAATATTTTAGATCTTATTATTCTGGTGTCTGCAGTTTGTAACACATACCTGAAAAATGCTAACATCTAATTCCAGTCGCCATCAACAGAGGGGGAAAACCCCCAAGAGGCGAGCGGTGTTCTGTCAGACCAGCATACCCATAGTCAAAACATATGCTGTTTGAAGAATAAACTTTAAACTATCTCAACAGGTGTGTATCCCTTTAGTCATGTACAAAATAAAAACAATTTAAAGGGAGATCGCCATACACTTAAAAAAAAAGATGAAAAGGTGAAGATTCTCAGTCATCCAGGTCATAGTCATTCCAAAACAGTTAAAAAACAATCCATTCGCCTACATGTTATGAATGCTGGCGTACCATAAAGAATAAATTACGTACAGTTTAGTTTGTGGAGCTGGTTGACAGTTGCCTTTTGTATCTATGTTTCTTTTTCTATGTCTGCTTCTGTCTCCTTGAACCCCAGTCGGCCTCAGCAGATGGCCGCTCACACTGAGCCTGGTTCTGCTGGAGGTTTC